GTGGCAATTTTGTTTTATTTTATGGCTATTAAGCTTACAAGACAAACATACCAAATTCTAAAATCGCTCCACATTAAAAGTTTATTTTACTCCTTGTGCTTTGTGACCTGTAACTACCAAAAAAAACTTAAAATCCCAGACACATTATATATTCTGTAAATCAGAACAACTAAATGAATTTATTTTTAATTACTTTCTTTAACCTGTATTTTTTTAATAATAAATAAGCATTTATATATATAGGTTACATCAAATTAAAGCCCTTTCTGTCCTTTAAAAAAACAGTATATAATATGTGTCGGTGCAATAAACGAGAGAGATGCAAATTGCAGTTGAACGCATACAGCAAGAAAATGCAAAAATTGCTTGTGTCATTAAGCGTAAGACAAGCTTCTGAAGCTGTGTCCTTAAGAGGTTAAGTGTAAGAGAAATCAAGTTTTATTTATAATGTGTGCTGTAAAAGATAAACGGTCACTTCTCTCTGAATTACACAATTGAAAAAAACATATTAAGTTAACTTGTTAACCTTTTTCTCTTGTGATGCTCAGATTTGTTTTAAAGTTATGTTGAAGCTTTAGTAAGTGATATCACAATCCAGTTCAGAAGCAGCAAGACCAGGGCATTTTATGCAAATAAGCAAGAATCAAAAACATTTCTTTCTCCTTTTCCATTAACTATTGAAAAGGAAATTTGTAACAATGATTGACAAGGAGCCAAAGATCGAGGGACTCTTTTAAAGGATAGAGGTAAATTCACAGCTGTTTGAATGCATTCATTTATATTTTTAGACCCTTTTCCCAAACTCATATTTGCTTAAAAGTGGCTAACTAAAAATGCTAGCTGGTAAACATCTTGATGCTACAAAGCAAAGCATAACATTTACAGAGGATAATTTATATTTAGTTGTAGTATAAAGAAGGAATACATACCACAGTGTGGAAATCTTCAAACAAGGTGACCGTTCTTCCAAAACTCAATATTTATATCATTTGGTCAATGATTTTCTTATCAGAATGTCGTGGTGACCTAACTTTGGCAGTTTGACCCAAAAGCATGACAAATTCAAGGTTATCATTAGTTGGATAGTGATGCACAATATAATCTGCTGTTAAGAGCAGTTGAAGAAATCTATACATTTAACAAAAGTCTAAATTATATGTTTTCATTTTGTTTTTATTTTGGTTAAATATGAATAAAACTAATAAAATGTATTTTAAGCAATCAGTACATAATGACTATATAGACAGTCTCTTCACATCTAGGACACCTTATTGATAGGGGCAAAAAAAACCTTGCTCATACTTCAGATACAGGAACCATAGATTTGAAGGATATATGGCAAAAAATATAGTACAAAATACTAAATGAAAAACAATATTAAAAATGAGAATTACATACCACTGCTCAGGGAATGCCACCAAATACCTGGCAGTGAGACTCAGAACTAGACTGGCCCAAACTAAAATCTCCCATATTGTGGACAACGATGGCAGGAAACATATAGATCCACATTCACTAAATTTTTATCCAAATTATATAACCTGAAACTTCAGGATAACATGACCCACCCCCAACCCTCAAACATAGACCAATACTTAGCAGACACACTACCTAAAGTATCAGAAGAACATACTCATACCCTTCTGCAGCCGATCACCTTACAAGAAATCGTTGAAACCATTAACCAACTCCCCCCGGGGCAGTCTCCAAGTGCAGACGGACTCCCTAACTCATACTCTCAAGAAGTTCAGTGCCTCCCTGGCGCCACAGCTCCTAAAGGTGTACCAGCACACTGCAACCTCTGGCCGTTTGCCTTCTGAAATGCTATTAGACACAATAGTAACAATTCCCAAACCTGACAAATCCCCGGACTTATGCAAAAACTACAGACCCATATCCCTACTAAATACTGACGCGAAGATCTACGCCAAAATTCTTGTGAATAGACTTATCCCAATCTTACCACATTTGTTCCATGACAACCAGATGGGCTTCGTGAGTAGTGATGTACCGAACGGTTCGCCGGCGAACGGTTCCTGGCGAACATAGCATGTTCGCGTTCGCCACGGCGGGCGAACATATGCGCGGTTCGACCCGCCCCCTATTCGTCATCATTGAGTAAACTTTGACCCTGTACCTCACAGTCAGCAGACACATTCCAGCCAATTAGCAGCACAGCCTCCCTAGCAGACCCTCCCACCTACAGGACAGCATCCATTTTAGATTCATTCTCAAGCTGCATGCTTAGTAAGAGGAGGGAAAGTGTAGCTGCTGTTCATAAGATAGGGAAAAGCATAGCTAGGTTAGGGATAAGGGTATGCTTTTTTTGGATTTTTTTTTCTATGTAATGTAAATGCACTTAGTTGTCTGCCACTGCTGCCAGCTTCTGTGTCAGGCTCACAGTGCCTGTGCCCATTTCCCCAGTCAGTGCCACCAATTACATCTGGTGTCACAATAGCTTGGATTTAAAAACAAAAAACTTTTTCACTGTTATAGATTGAATAGCAGTCAGTTGTCTGCCACTTGCCAGCTTCTGTGTCAGGCTCACAGTGCATACTGTGCCCATTTCCCAGTCAGTGCCACCAATTACATCTGGTGTCACAATAGCTTGGATTTAAAAACAAAAAACTTTTTTCACTGTTATAGATTGAATGGCAGTCAGTTGTCTGCCACTGCTGCCAGCTTCTGTGTCAGGCTCACAGTGCATACTGTGCCCATTTCCCCAGTCAGTGCCACCAATTACATCTGGTGTCACAATAGCTTGGATTTAAAAACAAAAAACTTTTTTCACTGTTATAGATTGAATAGCAGTCGGT